GGGGGCAGCTAATGCGCCATTGTATGCCGCAGAGGATGCAACAATCTCCTGCCAAGAAGCACTAACAAACCAATGCAAAGCAAATATATCACCTTGGATGCTCCGTATACTAAGGTGGATACGAGGCGGTCTGGTGCCAGAGCTACCATCTCAGCAACGCAGAATGCCATGAAGTAGAATCAAGAATTGCAAAAGCACGGCAAAAGCTCCAGTTATAACAAACGCAGGGGGACCTAAATGCAAAGGATTTTAATGAATTTTACGATGCCTTTCATAAGGCAGCTTCTCATGGGAAGGTGGCACGCTGAGCCTCCATTCTATGTTGGGTCTTTGGGAATCAAGCTTTGCAGGGTGCACATCTATGATGGGCATGTCTGGCACACGCTTATTTTAATCATTTATAAAACTCATATGGGAGTTGATCTAAATTCCTTTATCCGGGATCCGTCATTTTCGCCAAAAAAATTATATACGTTCGCCAAACTTCGCCTTCCTGCGTTTTATCTTTCGCCGAAGTACGTTGTATTTATGTGTGCCATGTATGTTGTGCTTTGTTCACGTCAATGGCTTCTTCTTTACTGGCAAACACAAAATAGAAACTTCACTGTTTGTCAGCATGTGTCTTCTACTTAACTGTTGACACCCTGTACGTCTCTTTTGTTTCTCCTGGGTGTCAGCAAGAATCAAAATTGCAAGAATCACTGTAGTAGCCGGTCACTCAAACTTACTCATAATGGGCTGGGGGTCAGATGTGGCAGGGTGAACTTTCGCCAATCTTGAGCTGAACTTTCGCCAAACTTTCGCCTTTTGCGGGGTAGAGTTTTGTGGCAAAGCCACCCCCCAAAGCAGGAGCAGGAATAGTAGTAGTAGTAGTAGCAGTAGTAGTCGTAGTCAGTGGTAGTGGTAGTCGTAGTAGTAGTACTAGTAGTAGCAGCCGCAGCAGCAGCAGCAGGTTATCTAACTTCCACAGCTCATCTAGCTTCTGAGTCACTGCCACCAGCTGTTCAGAAAGCAAATGAACATTCATACAAAAGTACATATTTAATCTTTCGCCAGATCTTTCGCCAAAAAAAAAGTTACTTTCGCCAACTCGAGAAAAAACGTTCGCCAAATGAGATTTTGATATGTTCCGGGTCATCGTCATACACACTGCTGACTAGGACCTTTAGATCGACAACCATATATACATAATGCTTATATATATATATATATCCGCCGACCCCGGCCTATAGCCAAAGCCTAGGCGGGGAGGCGCCTGGGACACCGCAGGGTGAAGCAGTTGGCCAAGCCTAGCAGAACCCTTCAAGCACTTCCAAAGGCGCAGGATGCAGCAGTTGGCCAAGCCTAGCAGAACCCTTCCAAGCACTTCCAAAGGCCTGTCCGAGGCCTCACCAGCTGGCCGGCCTGTTGCGGCCTCTCTGTGGCCTGTCCGAAGCCTGCCTCCTCTCTTCTTATCGGCTTCCCATATAGGCATTTTGGACCGCCTTCAAAAGCTTTTCGGCCTCTTGCGGCCTCTCTGTGGCCTGTCCGAAGCTTCTCGGCAGCCGGCAGGCCTCTTGCGGCCTCTCTGTGGCCTGTCCGAAGCCTGCCTCCTCTCTTCTTATGGGCTTCCGAAGGCAACGTGCACCGTGAGGCATTTTGGACCGGCTTCAAAAGCCTCTCGGCAGCCGGGAGGCCTCTTGCGGCCTCTCTGTGGCCTGTCCGAAGCCTGCCTCCTCTCTTCTTATGGGCTTCCGAAGGCAACGTTAGGCATTTTGGGCCGGCTTCAAAAGCCTCTCGGCAGCCGGCAGGCCTCTTGCGGCCTCTCTGTGGCCTGTCCGAAGCCTGCCTCATCTCTTCTTATGGGCTTCCGAAGGCAACGTTAGGCATTTTGGACCGGCTTCAAAAGCCTCAGCCGGCAGGCCTCTTGCGGCCTCTCTGTGGCCTGTCCGAAGCCTG